ACTTTAATAAGTAATATGACTTTGATGTTTTAAATAAACTAGGGTCATCCTCAATGGATCCCTGAGTCACAGATACTTTTTACTGCACCAATCATGATCTTGAAATTCCAGGTGACCTACTTTAAATCAACGAACCAAAAATGTGCCCTACTTTGTAAGTCGACATTTCAATGCACTTTGATATTTTTTTTATTTTCAATCTAATAATAACTGCCTAATGATTGCTTCCTACTTTTAAACTAAAATTCATTGATTTTCAGACTGAACCCTTACATCAGTGTAAAATTACAGTCTGTTTTAATAAATTTTATCAAGCAAACTTTTTTTTCAATGCGCATTAACACAAACATATAAAAAAATTGATTTTCTATGTGACATATGGTTTAAAATTACCACATTAATAAGAATAACACAGAACCCAACGGGTTAACGAAAACTGTATGGAGGTAGAATAATCAAAAGAATTTATTTTTACACTTCAGTAGTAATATTTTGTTTATGACTCACTAATCATTACTTAAATACATTTGACAAATATATACCAGGTTAAAACCCTACGTGATTCACTGTGATATATTTCATAAAAGTCACCAGTATATAATCTCCACAATTTCTTTTTTACAAGCAAACACTTCAAATCATTTTTTTTTCAAAAATAGATGTAAACAAAAAAGTCTGGATGATTATTAATTTAAAGCGAGACAATTAGCATACATAAATCTCTTTATAAGCCCCCCCCCCAAAAAAAAATCCTCTCCTCCACACACAATGTTTATCCCATTACACTTATAACTAGAACAATGGGCATTTTTCATTAGAAAGTCTGAATACTCAAAACTTCTCTACTCTTTGTCTTGTACAATTTGTTGCAGGTGCCAAATGAGAACTAATGAAGACATCATAATCTTTGAGTCGCTCTTTTTGCAGTTGTTTAAACCCGTTGTTACTATTGTCTTAGCTCATTACTTTTTTATATATGTCATTACTTTCATACCAATGTTATTTGAAATCAAATTTATCTCTTCAATAAATTCCAGCAACAAGTGCACATGCATAATTAAAAGCATCTTTTATTGAATCACCCTTTGTCAGTCTTTGGAATTACGCAATGCATTACACAAGACAAAAGAAAAAGTGCCACTCTTCTACCCTTAATGAATCAGCATGCTTCATTTGAACAGTTAAAAAACATCTTTTAAAAAAATTGACATTCCAAACTGAACATTGCTAATGCTCTGATTAAATTGCATACTTTTTTTTAACAGCTGAATGCCAAACCAATTCTTTGACAGGTTTCTCAAATATGACCAATATCATTTAGAACAGTTAAAGAATTTGTAATCCAAACACTATTTGCCTTGGATCTTCTTTTGAAGAAGTGCTTTGTTAAATTCAATCTGAAAATAACCAAATGTGTGTGTTTGTTTTTCCTTTATTACATAATAAACACCAAAAACTATCAGCAAGTAAAGATCTGACAACAAAGTTCAGGTCAGTGTTCTCTATGGAAACCTGCTGCAACATTGCATCCAAAATTTAACCATTCAGTACATGTATACTAAGATCTACACTGTATAAACTTTTTTTTTCTTTTGCAGCACAACCATAGGTCAATGTCTTCTGACAAACTGAAATTCTGTATATCACATGCAAGATTCTTAATTTTTTTAAGTGCACAGATCTTTTACTGTGCACCTTTATATTTTTGTGATGACCTTTCCATAACAAAACACAAGGCAACAACACAACATTATAAAAGAGCTGCAAAAGTCTAATGTGAAACTTAAATCTGATATTTTGGCCCCACCCCAAGGTGTCCATGTTTTGCACAAAAATTAACCTGAGGATGCCTCTATAAAAATATGATTGATAAAATAGTGTTCCTGGTTTTTACCAAATGTACCCCAATGGGTAACAATTTGAACAAAATTGAAACTTACACTACCGTAGAATACATCCATACAACTTATGCTTTGCTGTATCTGGGTAATTAAGTTTACTTTATAAATAAACAACCAAGGACTGAATTACCAGTTAAACAAGACAACATTACATTTAAAAATTCTGTTCGATAAAAAGTCATCTGGATACAAAGATCAGAAGGTCCACTGTATTCCCTTGAAAAACTTTGCCTGTAGTGGCCTCTCCCTATCCCTGGGGTACAAGATTTAAACCAACTTGAATGTACACTATATCAAGATGTTTTTATAAATATGTAAGCTTGATTTTTTTTCTGGCCTTTTAAAGAAGAGATTTTAGCAAGACCCCACAGAATTTTCCACATTACTTCATTTCATTTCGGAAGTAGGTGTGTGCCAAGTTTGGATGAATTTGGCCCTGTGATTCTGGAGAGGATGGGATTGTAAGAAGTTCACACCAACCATGACAACAGCAATGAAAGACAACAGAAAAATTTTGCTCAGAAAGCTTAATTGAGGCTTCAGCTTAGAGAGCTAAAATCAAGAATTGTCAAAGAGGAAATTCTGTTTTTCATTGTCAATATGCAGAAGAAAGACCCACTGCCTATATAATTTTGTAGAATGGTAAAAAGACATTAACCTATCTTGCCTTATTAAACCAATTTATATTCAGTTAGATTTGATGGACTATAAGGTTCAATTCTTCACTTCTGTTTATCAAGAAAATATACTGTAATACTTTGATATTTTTGATCAAATATCTAATTTTGTAGAAACCTTTCAATTAAAGCTAGTGGAGATGAAGTTTGTGTGGAATTTTGCCAGATATGTCCATGATATCAATTTTATCATCTAAAAATCAATGAATTTTAAAATGACCAAATGGTCTGGGCATCAAAATTTTTCAAGATTTAGAGCCAATACCAGCAGTTAGTCATCTGACATAGATCTTGCCATATTAACTCTTTTCCCCCTAATGCATTACATCCTTTA